ACTTAAGGGTGATTATTTCTTGCAAGACGCCGTGAAAAAAGCATATCGGCGTGATGGACAGGCTACTTCTCATCCTTTATCATTTCCAATTGATAAAGCTGAAGACGTGAGTGAGGCATTCGACGCGATCACATATGATAAGGTTCTACTTGAACAGAATTTTGGATAATTTTTAAACTATTAATTCTTCAGACATTACACATCATACAACAATTTCAGGGTTCCGCAGTAATATTTATGATTCAACATGTGATGGGATCTGATAACTTCAAAAAAGGATTACATGTTAGTTAATTAATTATGCTATTTTAACAATTAGCACTCAAGCAAAGTTTTTCAGTTCAGATAGGAAAGCTAAAAATTCATTTTTGAAGAGCTTCCAAAGTTCCCGTTGATAAAAATGTACAATCTAATTAGCCGCAATTAGATATTTACGCGTTATATTATTGATTATTTTTGACATAATTCTGATATTCCCTTATACATGAATGAGTTTCAATACTAAATTTTAGAACTACTTAGAGAACTACAAATACCGCAATGCAGATCACGATGATTTATGGAGTGCTCTCAATGAAGCAGTCCCGGATACATTGCTGTCGTGGGAGGGTGACAAACTTGACATACGAGACTTTGCATCCAAATGGACCCAACAGGTATTCTTAGCTGTCGCAAATTAATAGAAACAACGTGAGCTACATTAATAAAGTAATGGATATTTTACTGTTTCTTGTGTAAAAACATGAAAGAACTAAGGTAAATCAAGCGTTCTTTACTATTAAATTCATTAATTAATTTATAATTAGATAAATTAATTATTGGAAGCATTCAATAAGTAATGTTGAAATAATAAGTATTTAAGTTTAAAACGAGTGAAATAGTGCTATTTGATGCAGATAAATGTGCTAATATTTTCACTCACAGATGGGTTACCCAGTGGTTGAAGTGCGCCGGATTGATGGGAAAAAAGTCGAATTGCGTCAAAAACGTTTCAAGTGGGACGAGGATGCACTTGAACGTGAAAAATTTCGCAATGCTAGGTTTTGGTTAGTTATTGAAAATGTGAATCAATGACGTTTTTTCAAAAAAATTTAAAATGTGACGTAAAAATATTTTAATCTCTTGTCCTTAATTATATAGTTAATTTTTAAGGATAATCGCAACATTTATATATGTTGCAGGTATAAATATGATATACCGATATGGTATGCAGTAAATGGAGAAGAAATGCCGATGACTTGGCTGCATGAATGTAACTCTTTTATTAAAACTGTGTTGAATTAGATGGGTTTTCCTAAATGAGCTTTTACCAAGGCTACTGGTTCACTTCAGTGCATATTTTGCTTCTTATAAAAGTGGACATCAATCAAGGGTCATTCATTGGTCTTCCGGAAATTTTTTTCAAACGATATTATCTCATTTATTCAATATTTGAGTTGTCTGTAGTTTATGGTTGCGCTTGTTTCAAGCTGTTTAGATTTAAAGTCAAAACATTATCAGCTGTGATAATATCTCTTCCACAGTTTTTGAATTTACATACCAGTTTCTTTTTTTAAAAAAAAAAAGAAATTATTAAATTTAGCTCAAGGCTTGGATGTGAGCGAAGAAGACCTATTGGTTTTAAATTCTGGCTCCAAAGGTTTTTATCGAGTCAACTATAATCTGGAATTATGGCTAAAGATAACTGATCAGCTACTGAAAGATCATACGGTAATATTTCTAGGGGATTAGGATGAGACCAGAAATTATCTAGATGATAAAAAAATAAGACATAAACATTTGTATCTGAATCTTTATTGATAACTTCTTCTAACTGTGAGTAACAATTATAATAAATAAATAAGATTATATTGCTAAAGACAAAATAGTTGGATTTAAAATGTTGACATTTTTGAGTATTTCTCTCTTTTAGAATATTTCTGTTTATAAAGTTCTAATTTCGAAATAATCCTTTGAATTTCAGAGAATTGATGTGCGCACTCGTGCCCGGATCTTGGATGACGCTTTTGCTCTTGCGGAAGCAAATTTTATTTCCTACGAAATTCCATTAAATCTAACAAAATATTTATCAATGGAAGAGGAATTTCTTCCATGGAGAATGGCCTTAAATGGCATTGGTACTATTGTCGAGAATTTTAGTGATGAACCTGAGACTCAGCATATTAGAGTAAGCTGTTCCAGTATATTCACTTGGGAAAATTGATGTATATTTAATTGTCGTTAAGAAAAACAATATTTATTTAAGTTATTATACAATTAAGGATTACTTGGAGCCGCTGCTTATCCAATTATACAATCGAATCGATTGGAGAACTTTGGAGATGTCCTATCTGGATGACGAACTTTTCTTTGAAAAGTTTTTTTTTCACATTTTTTTGGTTATCTAGCTTTTGGTATTCCGAAAATTTAATATTTAAATGAAATTTCAATGTTCATTTCAGTGAATTGCGCTATGCGATCATTCGACAAATGTATTATATGCGGAATATAAATTGTACGGAAAAGCTGTATGGCTTGTTCCTCAAAAATTTTTTGGATTTGTGTCAAGATGAAAATGCTCTAAGCAGTGAATGTAGCAGGTTTGTTTCTTGTGTCCTCACTGATATATTCCATTAAAAAACTCTTAATTAACTTTTAGGCCATCGTTTTTCCAAAGTTATTGGTTTGTCATTTTATCTTCTCTATTCATTCCATCTTTTTTTGTTTAGTTTCTTCCATTGTTTTCATGAAAACCTTCACTAATAACTATCATCTAAGTGGACATTCATGATTCAAATTTTGTATTTTCTTCAATGACGCAACAGTCACATTTATATGGAGAATATTAGTAGAAATGGAAATGAAGTAATCGTTTTCTAAACTATTAATGTTTTGAACATAGTTAAATTTCAATCACAAAACAGATTGTTTATAAATTTTCGTTTATAGAATTCCAATACCAGTACGATCGCAAGTCTACTGTGAAGGCGTACGCATAGGTGCGGAGAAGATATGGAACAAAGTGTTTCAACTTTATAAACGTGAGCGAGTTCAAGTGGAACGAGAACGCTTGCTTGGAGCTCTGACATGTTCCCGCGATTCATTCACTCTTAAAACGTTCTTTTTACTATAATTCCTAGAACTGAAAAAAAGATTCATGATAAATACTAGAATAGAAAGCTCGTTTAAGAATATTTTAAAGAACAAGAGTAAACTGAGGTGAAAATAGGTGAGAACCTAAACTGACATTCATCTTCCGCTTTTAACATTCTTATTGCTAATGATTAAAATTTAGATTACTAAAAATGGCATCTGATTTGAATGATTCATCGATTCGATTACAAGATACGCCGCTCACATTTGGATATGTTAGTGCTGGAGATGTCGGCCGTTTGATCATCTTTGATTATTTCCAGGACAACTGGCTTCAACTCTACACAGAGTAAAATTTCAACTTCTAATATAAATCAATTTTTTATTGATTATTGGTAGATTATAATGATTTTTTATTTTTTTCTGCACAGTTTAATATTATTAAAAAAATTAATAAACTTGAAAAGATTTCAGTATGAAAGAGCAGCAGAGTTTCTTACGAAAAATTATTATGAGCTCAACGTCAGTATCAAACGAAAGACAAATTGCCCAGGTTGCTGAATAACTTTTTTGTTTCCGGAACTATTTCCTAGTTCCTTTTCTCTTTACACCTCATCCAAAACTTTGATTTAATGGTCTCTTTCTTGACATTAAGTTTCTCGTTCTATTACAGCTTGAAGCTTTCATTAAAAAGTACAGGAAAGATACGAGTAAGCTGGATGTATTTGGACAACAGCTGGAAACGAGTAGAACTGCGAAGGTTCGTGGCAGCTTCATTTCATAGTTACATTAATTAAAGACCTGAATTTTACGAGTTATTGAATTACAAATTAGAATAAGTCAGAGGAATTAATTATCTCTGATTGACTTAATAATTTTTCAGTTATGGCGAGACAGAAATCTAAAAACGCTTACGGAATGGTTTAGGAAGCACAATATGAAAAGTATTTGACACTTTTGCCTAGTTAATTACCATCCAAAGATTACCATCTTAAATCCCTTACACTTGACATACAATACGTCCAATGTTAAATATTATTGTTGTTGCGATTCGATAAAACTCATTTACGTTTGTCTTTTCGAATCACTTCCTTATTCTATTTGGAATGCATCATTGTAAAACAAAAGTGTCTATAAATGTAAAAATTCGAAGAAACTTTCAGCAAACTTCGAAAATTAGCTCTTGGGGACATAAATGGCTCATTTTCATCCCTTCTTCTATATTAGATTCTGTTTTGAGAGTCGTTGTATATAAAAGTTTCTTTTGGACCTCAAATATATTCAGAATTGTAAATTCCTATTTGCTTCACTTCATTTTATGTTTTGTTACCAAGTATTTTCTTATAAAAGTGTCTTATATTTTAAAGGAAACAGTTGTTTCGTTTGCAGTAGATGCTTTGTATGTACCTCAGTGTAAGAGCATCCTTCCATAGCACAATAAATTTCCAATTTCAAACTGTCATTTCTCTCTGTTAGATGCAAATTGAATTTGAAATTAATCAGGATTTTTAATGAAAACAGTCTAAAAAAGTGGCGAGAGTTAAATTCGAAGTCATTTCCGAGTATTTATTTATTTATTCTTTGTTTTTTATTTATTTTTTTTTTTTTTAATTATAAATCATAAAGATTTCAAGGAAATAACTAATAGAAGGTGAAGATTTTAATCTTTAATCTCTTTACAAGAAAGAAAGATTCTACACTGAAGATAGCCGAATTATTTTTGAATTTTGATTGAAAGTTAACACAGTTATTCCGCTAAAGGGATCCATTAGACAGGACTTCATTTTGATTATCTAATAATACTAATAATTTCTTAATGAATTTACTTCCATAGAAATTTAATTAATATGCAAATCATTAAAAGTCGTTAGAAGTCACTGTGGAAATGAAAACTTTATGTTCAGGAAATTTGATGGATAACTGGTATTTCAAGGTACATAGGTACCAAACTGCTTCATTTGTTTGCGATGCTCAAAGGTGTAAGGACCGTGCTTATGTTTGATCAACCAGAAACTGTCTTCCGTTTCTTCCTGAAATAATTAATTTATAGTATTATCGTTTTATAGTGCTAAGAATTGCAATATTTTATTCGTTCAGCAAAAATTCTCAGTTTATTGCGATGGCAATAGTTTCATCCCGTCAGGAAAGGACTATGATTGCAAAGATCCGTTCAAATTGAACAACTTAGGCAACTAGAAAACATTATCCCTGTTTGATATCAATGTAACTTCTTGCTTACATGCCTTTGCAATCATTCCCGAGTCATTTTATGCCGGAAAGTTTGTCAGTTAATGCATTTTCATCAATAATATTTCTTTACTGATACTCACACAACATTATATTTGCTCATATTCTAGCAGCTATCATCATTATTTTCATGCAATTAAACGATTTTTGGGCCTAAAAATACAGTTTCAGGCGAATAGTTTTCAGATCAGCGAACATCAGTGAATTATACTCATCCCGAAGAAATTTCGTTTATTTTTCGAACCTTTCAAGATCTTCTGAAACCTGAGAAATCTTCTTATTCATAATGCTAATATTAGGATCGACTGTAGAAATGAGCAGATGCAGTTGAAAGTTACACCTAAATAATACAGAAATAACTGAAAACCTTTGATGCAGATACTTGCTCGAAGTAGAGATGGGTTGCATTAAATATATGAAGTCGACCAAAGCCATAGTTTGAGGAACGAAATGCACTCCACGGAGATGGCTGGGGTACAAATGGATCGGTATATTCTTGGCATCCCTACTAATGTTGATTAATATTAATCTAGGATTCAAGCTTAAAGGAAATGTTTATTGTAGTTTGAAAAAATGCATATAGATATTGAAGTTTTGATAGAAAATTTCGGTAGGATTTGTTATTATTAAACTAAGAATCAGAAATCATTTCAAATTCTGAAAATATAGTTTCAAATGTGAATTTGCTTACAGCAGATCCTGAAATGATATGTACAGGTGCTGGAGGATCGGTATATGGTTCCTTGGTACCATTATAAACCTGAATTTAAATAGCTGAAACAATGTTCACTTCACTTAAAACCATTCAACTGGATCTGCTGGCAAAAAGAAAAAAAATCTGGAAAAAAATAGCATTCATTCAAAAGTTAGTATGAATATTTTGAACAATTCATCTTCACATTTTATCATTTTTTAAAAGTCGTTTAATAAATTAAATATTCTAAAAAATATTCAGTAAGAAAATGCTTACGGTACGATTGTATAATGGCCACATGCGTTCATAGGAATGTTCGTGCGCCCAAATTTCTAAGTCAACTCCATATGTATAAAACAATTTTTCAAAACCGTAACGATGTGTTCCAGGCACGCCCGAACGTACCTAAGTTTGAACTTAAGTTTACAATAAGATGCGAAACTGAAAAAACTGAAAAAGACATAAATAGTCTTTCTCCGATATTCGCAATCATCATGACTTTCATTAACATCTGCAAATAAAATGACTCACTCGCGATTCGTATTTAGTGCAATCATCGGAATCGTAATTCGAGCAATACATCGGTCGATGTCCCATTGTTATAATCCATGGATATTTGTCACGGTTTGCAGATGCGCGCTAAAAATCAGCAAAGAGCGGTAACACTTTTACGTTTTCTTCTTGCACTTCATGCTGTTTAGTAAAACTCACCTTTAAATCTTCAGTAAGCCATTTCCACTGATTCGCTATTTGTATAGAGCCATATTCAGTGAAATAATAAAATTCGGTTGATATGGCAATAAAATGAGCAGTACCAAGATCAAAACTGCAAAGCATTTACAAAAAGTTAAAACTATCGATGTATGATAATATTTGAGGCAAATGAAAAATTTCTACGCTTCAGCATTCAAATCATTAAATTAGTATGCGTGAGTAATTTAACTAAATACATAAATAAATGCAAGCATCACTTTGCTGCATATTTCATTAATTTGTATAAACGCAATCCTTTTATTATCTTTTAAATTAATATCTATGAATCAATGAAGCAGAATGAAAGAATTCACAAATAAATTTGATAAAATAACCAAAACGAATCATTTCCTTTTTTCATTGTAATCGTTGTAATCATAAAAAAGAGACTTAAATCTAGTTTGCACACAAAGTGAAAAATTCTATTACCTATAAAAAAGGTTGTGTTCACTATTCGGCATGGTATACCGGTTGACATAGTGAGAGAAGTTATATGCCTGTTCATGGTTACCGACAACCATCATATACGGTACGTAAGCTGCTACCGGTTCAATTTGTCTGCCGAATTGATCACCAAATTGTCCTTCATCCTGATAATCATCATTTTCCAAATAAAGCAACCATTACATTTTTTTTTTTTTGAAATATATGCTTTGTGCTTTTTGATTCATAATGGAATAGTCGAAAACACTGTTGCAAGAAGGAAGATGAAACATACAGTATCCAAGTTATATGCCATGTCACCTAAATATAATGACGCGTGAATTTATTTGTCTATTTGTTTCTAGCAGTTATTTTTAACAATAAACAAAGTTAAACAATAACTTTTCAGTTTTATTTATCAAAAATCATAAAATTTCATTGTCAGCACAAATTAAAAAGTGACTGACCAATATGTAAAACAGCGTCGATTAGTGACCGCTGTGCTTGTTGTTGTATTTTTCCGAGTGACCGAGCATTTACAACGCCAAGATCTCCATAAACTGCATATATATATTCATGATTTGTTAAGTTTTGCATCGCTTTGAATCGATAACTTGAACTCCAGCCGTATTCCGAACCAACATGGTACTCTGTGCATCACTTTTTGAAGACATTGAAAACAGTTAAAATAAAATTTGCTGAATGAAGATAAGATTTTTATAAAAATAAATAGGTCATGAGAGTTTGAAAGCTGAAACTTTTAACATTTATCAGGCCAAAGTCCTTATTTATTTTGCACCGAGAACTTTTACTAAGTAGTTTTCCAGACATGTCATGGCATTACCACTGAACGTATATATTATAGATTTACTTTCATGCGGTGTAAACGTACGGTAAATAGTTCCGGGTATCAAACCGGTCAGTAGAACTCGGTGTATATATCGCCTACTTCTTTGCTTGCCACCATCGATGAATAGAACAGAACTGCCTTTAACAGACCATCTTAAATCATTGATGCCATATTCCACAATTGATGAAAAGGTGTCATTATAAGTAAGCCAAGTTATCCACATGGCGGATACATTACCTGAAAAGTACAGATTAAATTGAATTTTAAAAAAGATTTAAAATGCCTGAATCTTTCAATAGTGTTTTCTAAAATGTAAATGCTTATCTAAATTGCATTGTTTTACACATTTTCAATAACTTGCATAAAGCTTTTCCAAACAGCACTTCCATTTTCCGAAATTCGAATTTTTATCATATTTTCCTTAGACAATCATTTTTTGCATGTTCTCAAAATTAAAAGACTTATTTCAGTTTACTTCCGCTCTGCTCATCTAATCCCTTTTTTCTAGCTGCAAAAAAATGAGACTATTGATTGAACCATGATTCTGTCAAGTTACATGATTTCTCAGTGATTCGGAATTCACTGCTAGTTAGACTCGTCCATTTCAATCATCGAATGCTTAACTGATCACTACGTCTAACAACTCTCATGACATCCTGAACTTATCAGTCTTACCCTATGACTGTTACAGGTAAACACCACGATAATCCAAACAGATGAAGTACATAAAGATTAAACTAAGTAGATGCTAAGCTTTCGCGAAAGAAATGTTTTGTGTTGCTGCAATGAGAATAAACAGCTTGAAAAAGTGTCTATAAGTCAGTAATTATTTTAATGACTTGCTAAAAATTATTAAGTGACCGGAGAGGACAGATTTGACTAAAATTGTTCGTTTCAGTACGAGATCAAAATTAAAATTTATTTTTAACTTGATCAAAAATTTTTTGAATTATCGAATAACTGATCAAATTGATCAGCTATTCGATAATTCCTCATCTTCGCCCATATCGCTGCTATAGGCACTTTTTTAAAAGTCTGAAAGATGACTGCTAGCATCATTTTGGTCTCATATCTGAATCACTACATCTTTGAACTATCCCAGTAATCTCGAGAGAACTCGAGAGACAATGCCACATTGCCATCATCAAGTAACAAAGAAATATGAGCTGTGGTAAAGCCAGCAAGGATTACCTCCATAACTAAGAGCAATCTGTTCCGGTTGCGCATAGTAAGGACCTTGATTAGGACTTCGATTAATTTTTCGATTGAAAGCACGAAGTGGTTTCAGTGAATTTTTTCTTGACGAACTTTGACTGAGGAAGAATAAAAGCAGAAGAAACACCGAAGGGAGCATATCAGCATATTACTGAGGAAGGGGCCAACTGTGAAATAAAAATGCTAATCAGATCGATATAGCTGGTAATGCTATTCGAATGATCGAAACTAAGCTTTTATAAGCGATGGTAATTAATCAGTGAAGCAGCTTTATATCAACATGTGTTGTTGAAGAGCTATAAATATCCTTTACTGTCTTTGTATTGTTTCTCAAGTCTTCATTTCATTTCATTTTCAGAAAGCTTTGCTCGGATTGAAATTTTAGAAATATTTTATAGTAAAATTTTAAAATTATCCTTAGAATTGATCCATAAATTCCCATTTTTTCCTTTTTTTTTTTCACTTTAATCACTTTCAATTCATAACTATTCCACTCGAAAATGCCTCTCTGCTTTCATATGTTTTGAATCGCATGCAAATTTATATTGAGGAAAAATGATGCGAGTACAAGGTGTCACCATTTGCTGGTCCATATTCTTCACCCATGTGTTAATGAGTTTAGTAAAGTGTTTTAAATGGATGTTTCGACATGTCACCATCGTGTACCACCCAAAAAAGTGACTAGGAGACATCTTTACTTTCATCGTTTTACCACGTTCATCTTCAACTTACCTAAATCATTCCATAGTATCATCATTATCATTTCCATTGTTTTCTCTATTTTTTTAAATAGTAAGATATTTGAACCGATGAGCCGATGCTAATTTTCTTATTGGTCAGAGATAACGAATGGGGAAGCAGAATGAAAAGGTCAAAACTTGTAGTTCTTCTTGAAAAAATTAAAAATCTCTTCTAGCATGACCCTCGTCGACATTATCACAATCTCAGAGATTGCGGGGTGTGTAGCGAGGCGAGCGAGCTACAGTTGCACTCGAGGTCGAGAGTGATATCTAGAGGGAGGGAAAGAAGGCGAGGGAGAAAGGTACGAACGACGGCGATAGGTCATCGGGTAGGAGAACGACAACTGGCACTGCTTACCACGGGATACATACCGCGCGCCCACTATCCTCAGGGTCATTCTGCACTTCGCTTGTTCCGTTAATTTGCATTTGCACAACATTCTCTCCCTCTCTCTCTCTCACCTGTGTCTATCAATGTTTCCTGTAATTGATAGTGATCGGAGGAAGCGATCGGTTACCCCGGCCTTCCCACTGACAGGTATCGTCACGTCGGGATGGAAGGAATGAATGTATCATCGATAATAAAAGTCTCCAACCATGGCAGTTTTCGCTACGAAACTTCTGCTTGAGAAACTTAACTGCCGTATAGTCAACCGATGGATTGTCGAACTTTTCTAGCATCTATGCATTTCTTTAGTTTTTAAAGATTTGCTGTACAAAAAACTTTAACTCTTTCAGAGGGGATATGGACAGTAAGGAAGTTACCCAGTTTACTAGATGTTTTCTTCTCTTTCCCTCCCAACTCTTTTATCAGGTATTGCTTCCCTCTTAATCTCTGTTTACTGCTCAATTCTTATCTCATTTAAATAACTCTGTCCAGTATTCTGAAGACCTTTTGTCCCAAATCTGTTTCCACTTGTTTGTCACGAAATTTCAAGTGCATTTTTTAGTGGTAGCAATATGAACATTTCAAGATTTGCATCATTACTGCACTCAGTGAATCCCACCGTGTGCTTCGTAGTCACAATAAACCTGTTCAGACGGTAGTGCGACCCATCAATCTTAATAGTAACGCTCAGTCTTATGTAGAAGAGCACTACACACACGGTCCTAGCCACTACTTGAAAGAATGATCGGTCATGTTTTCAAATGAATTATGAAGCAGATGTCTCAGATGACCCTTGCCCGAATAGTACCTCTTTGTCCTATTGTGTAATCGAGCATGTTTGGAGTAGTAGGAAGAGAGAGAGAGAAGGAGAGAAAGGGGAGGGGAGGATGAGAGAGTCATCTTAACGGCCCTTGCTCCCTGTTTATACAATCTCGAGATGGTCCCTGTCATCTGTCTACTTCTATTCACATCGAGTTTCATCCCGAATTCGCGATAACTCTCTGAACAACGCTCGTTCAACTCTTCTGGCGTTTTATTATTATTGTTGTCGTTGTCATTGCTGTTGTTGTTGTTGTTGTTGTTGTTATTGTCCTCTTCGCTGTCTGCACGCCAGCATGGCACGCAGTGGCTCTCCTGCAATATGCTAGTGTCCCTTGGGGATAGTGCTGCGGGGGCGAGCGGACACAATCCGATGACGATGATGGCATAGTCTGGTGGGTGTTATCGTCGTCACCGCAGACATTCATCCCCACTTACTCTCTCGTTTACTTCTTCCCTCCTCCTTTCCTTACTCCCTTTCTCCTTTCCTCTCTTCCTTCCTTCCTTCCTTCCTCTTTTCCTCCTTTCCTTTCTCCTCTTCCTTTCTTCCTTCCTCCTTTCCCTTCCTTCCTCCCTCACTCCTCCTTTTTCCTTCCTTCCTTCTTCCTCCTCCCCCTTTCCCACTCGTTCACTTTCATTCATTCATTCATTCATTCATTTCATTCGTTCATTCACTCATAGTCATTCACATAGTGCTTCAATCAATATTCATAATATTTTATTCATAGTCATGATGTTCCATAAATGTTTCCATTCACTCTGAAATTGCTAATATTGCATCTAATCTGGTCATTTTGAGTCTCCCTCTCCCTCTTTCTCTCTCCCTCTTTCCTTTTATCTGTAGAATTGTCCCCATCCGAGTTGCTGTCCACTGCATGAAACCTCCATGCTTTATTGCTGATGTGGTTATTTGCGCTACCAAAACTTCTCTTATTGTGAAAAGATTTTTAAGTGAATGAAAAACATGGTGACAGGAACCTAAAAGCAGTGCTAGATATCCGTCAATGCATAATACTATGTTTTTCTTAATGTTTTCTCGATGAATTATTTGTTCCATTCTTCAAGCCGAATATTCCGAATCTTTGGAATTTTCTCAGCAGTACTCACTTATGTATCAAGGTTTATTTGTGAAGTAAACTCAGAGACATTTTTGGAAATGAAATCTGGGACTTAGAATTTGTGCTTCGTACTACATCATGCTCAGTGAAATGCTATTGTGAAATTACAAATACGTATTTGTCTTAATTTTTCTTGATTTAATTCCTAATTTAATACTTTTACTGCGAAGATTCCGGAAATTTTGTTACAATGTTAGTATTGAATTTAGTTTTGCAACCTTTAAGTAGCTATGTAACAGATAGCAGTTCGCAGAATTCATCGTAATATAGTTTGTAAATTTTTTGTTCGTTGTGTACTTTCATTAATTTATCAATATATGTGCACTTTTTACAGACACCTTGCAAACTGCTAGTGCTTTTGTTTACTCAGCTACTCACTAGACTATGTCATTCGTGACTAGTGATGTAAAATTGTTCGACTTACTAATGCCACTTGTTTGCCGATATTTCAGAAATTTTATTTCTCCCTCTCAAAAAAAAAAAATTTTTTTTTTCGAAAAAGAATATTTGTCGCACCACATTCATATATTTTGCGTATGAGCAAATTTCAGTTTTAAATGTTCAATTACCATGTTTTTCTCTGCATTAATTTCTCGCTAAAAAAGATACATGATAGATTATATGAGATGTCAGTTGAAATATGGTATCCTTTCGGGTTTGCAGTGCTTTACAATTTTCAGGGGATCTAAAGTAGGTGCTGTCGGAGTGTCCAGGCCTACTGTTAGCAGCAGTATGGCCTGCATAGCGATATAGACATCAAAGGGCTGAAGTTTTTCACCTTATGTCGCAGTTTTGAGTGGTCGTATCAAATTGTTAGTTATGGTTTATTTTTTAGAAAATATGACTTATATTTGGTGAAAATAGTTTTGATAAGGCTGTACTGATAATACTTGAAAAGTTTTCAGTAATTTAGGGGTCAAAATTTGTTTTAGCAGTTCTAAATAAGGGAACTATACTAACTTTTCTGTTTGTTACTTATCCAGTTTTGTTAGTTACAATAACTAATAGAAATCATCTATAGTCTTTTTAGTTCCAACCATCTCTTGTTTTAAAACACTTTAGCGTTCATTGCAGTATCTTTAAAATATGAAATATGTTCCGTGTCAGTGGAAGATGTAAGTAAAAAATCTGCTGTTAAAAAGGTGGATATTACGGACAAGTGAGCTCGGATTTTTTGGATGCTTTAAAAAATTTTGACCAGATTCTCAGAATATTTGAAGGATGCTGTACTGGGAATTATTTCAGGTTTCTTCCCAAACTTTGTGGTAATCTTGTGTCTCTAAGTCCTATTAATCACCGAGGCCGAGAAACAGTAGTGAAGCAGTACTTCATGTGTTGATATCAGTATGAGCAACCGACCCAAAACGGATGTCGAAACACGCACACATATGAATACTGCGACGATTTCAGGTTGTTACCTAGCGGAAATGACTTGTTTTCAATCTGTACGAATTTAACATTACCACCGAACAACACTTTGTAATTCAGTAGGTCTCCCAGTTTTTGCTAAAACTTTTAAGCATGGTGATAACGAGATATCCTCACAAGCACATCATTTTCATTTCATTACAATAACAGGACTCCTCAGATCTGTACTTTTTCGTTGCTTGTTTTTACAACTCTAATTTGCAGGGAGAGTTAGGCACACTATGAGATAGAAGTGTAGTTCCTGTGCACAGTTCTAAGGACTTTACTGACCAAGATATGTAAACTTCCACTTCCTGAAGTTAAATTGCTCCAGAAATGGGTGCTAAGTATATTTCTATCTTCCAAATACCTCCTGAAGACATTTTTAATAATCTTTCTCTTCCTGCAAGCTATTCTTGAATGTTAAAGAAATGGGCTGCCTTTTGTTTTTTTTTTTTTTTTCATTCTATTTTCCACTCGAGAAGTAGGTGCTGAGTATTTTTCTAGTATTGAAATGGATAATGAATTATTGTGTACTTTAGTTTGTCCGTTGTTGCTAGCATTTTAAAGATATTCACTATTATTTGATTTCTCTATTAATTATTTTTAAAACAGAAAGTTAAAATATGCAAATTCTTATATATATTCATTTTAATTGGTTGTCTTTCAATGTGTATGTCTTTCAGCTTCATATTTTCAAAGGTACCTTTTGCTTCCAAAAGATGTGTTTTTCATTTATCCGTATTCTAGTTTCAGTTAACTGCGTACTCATTTATTTCCTCTGTTCTCCCTTTGTTCTTTTATTTTTTTATTTTACAAGTCTAAGGAAAAATTGAATGGCCGTTCATCCACCAGTGTAAACGGGTTCACGTAAGTTGGTCCTGGAGAGGTGCGTTGCTTTCCGGAAAATCTGGAAGAAACTGTTTGTTTAGAAGTGAGATTATGAAAGCTTACGGAGTAGTTTGCTTTGATAATAATTTTCAACGTGTTCTTCAAAATTCTTTTAGGCATCAGCGTAAAGTTCCAAAAACATATTCAGTAAAATTCTTTTCATTGAACTGTCTAGCAAGAAATTTCTGGGACAACACAGATCTGGGACCTAGGTGGGGTGGCCGGCCACTCGATTCTATTTCAGAACAAGTTTATCTTTTAGATTATCCGTTAAACTGTTTCATATCTTTTCCATAATGATATTGTGCTTTAGAAGTAATCTCACTTGGCTAGCCAGACTCTTTTACATAAACTTTTTTGTAATGCATTTCTTCGTAGTCCTAGATTATTTTGGATGGCTTTTATAAAGTCTAAATAAAATATTTTGGAGTGGGCATTTACGAATGTTTCGAAAGTGGTGCATTGATCAAAATGTAAAAAGGTTTGGCTAGCAATTCCTCACTGCTTTTTTACTTCTTTTGAATTTAGACGAAGGAGTGCACTTAGGCGTCTACTGCTTTTTTTACTGCACTTCACCACTTATAGTGCAGTAATGGTGCGTACACAACGTTGAATACTTCCTGATGCATTTTTTTTTTCCTGTTCTTGCGTACATCAAGCACAGGTTCATTCTTTCCTTTGTTTCTTAAAACTTTTGGAGAGATTCTGCGAAGTTTAAGATCTGCGTTTAAAAAAAAAATCACAGCTATACCGGGATTGTTTTGCCCCGGGTGACACATTTTTTTCTTTTCCTCTCGAACTTCTGCAGCAGTTTCTAATTCTGCACCGATTGATCCATTTCTACATCTACCAATCAGCAATCACTGCCACAGATTTCTGTACATTATTACTTTCATAAGTTAAATCAGCATTTTATTGAATCATTACTACATCGGGATTTCAGTAAAGGTTTGTGTTGTCACTGGTTTCTTTGACATGGTAGTTTGTTATTTAAGGCATTTTTATCGTTAAATATAATATTACCAATATTCCATAAAAGATGTGTGGTGACTTCATATGGGAGGAGTGCTTTGGCATCTCCAGAAAACAATTTGTATGGAAACAATGGGTAATAGTTAAAGCAGAAATTAAGCAAAGGCAACTTGCAAGCAAGTACAGGTCTCGTGAGAGTTTCTACTTCATATACAACCCATATCATGTCCGTTGTTGAGGAAAAATTCACTGAAGTACAGTTGTTCTGAGCGCAATATATATTCCTGTTATGACGAGGACTAGCCACTTTTCGGTAAGACTAAGAGCACAAGCGAAAGAGTCTAATAGTTCTCAGGTATGTTCCAAGTTGTTTTTAACAAAGTCCTACTCATTCCATACTCTGACACGACGGGCTGCTACTCAGAATTTATTGCTTCAAAAGTTATGACAAATCTCAACATTTCCTAGCCATTTGAACATGGACTGTGTCATAAATAACATGCATCTGTAAACCTAATAGCGTACTGATTCGTTATTAATTCAAGAAATTTTTTTGATTCGAGTTTTTTCCAGTATGTAAAATGCATAACTAGCATCCCCACCATGAGCATGAGTGACTCGCTACAAGTTGTTGTAACACATAATAAACAAGTTCCTAAGTCATTTAGAAATCCATCAAAGGATAGAGTCGACGCCCTGAACGTACATTTCTAAATTTAACTAGGGAACAGCACTTCTGACAAACCTAAATAAACCTGGCAAGACAAGCAGAAATGACAACTGTAAATAAATCATACGACTAAAAAAACCAATAACGAAGGAATCAGTTTTAAAATCAAAAAAAAAAAATCCCTCTATATCAGGATGTCCCATAGCAGATCAAGCACATTCGAATGTATATTTCAGTACATCCAAACTCTGCGACAAAATTGTTTTCAGCACAAAAATGAGTCGACAGTTAGTTTGCAAATGATTCCATACAAAGTGTTTCGGATGCATAGGAAAAACTTTTCAAATTTTTTAGACCATGGATGTTTTGAAGGAAAATAAGATAGAAATACTTATCACTGACATTTCAAAACGATCTATCCAACAATGTGAAATTCATGCTCCAAGCTGCTACTCTAGACCGAATTAAATAATACGACATTTCAAGTAAAGTTATTATTTGCACGGCTATGATGCTGAATAATTAATGCAACTTTTCTCGGTACTAGTATTTTCAATTTCCAATGCGTAATATCAGTCTGATATACACTTTTACGCTAAAAGTCACTAATGAGAAAATTATTTCTATGTGAGAGGCTTAAATAGCGACCCATAAAAATATAAGAGCATAGGCAAAACAACGCATACAAAACAAAAACTGAAGGCTTGCCGAATTTCATTCGTAAAAGAGTGAAATACAAAATTTCCAGAATATTCTAAATATTCATACAATAAACATGCACCGAACTATGCAATCTGCACTAATGACGATTGAAATCATAAAAGTTTCAGTTCGCCAGTAACTAAATCAACTAAGTGGGTTGGACCAAAGATGCCAAGAACAGTCCGTGAGCCAGTAGGAATCTGTGTACGCCCAGCGTCGGACACAATGTAAGTAAATAAACCCTGAAATTTTAACAGTACTGAATTTGAGGCAAATTAAAAGATCTAGATAAGAAGCAAGAAATTTGCTTCGAAATTTACCAAAACACATAGTACATAAAGTTGATAAAGCTTGAAACTTCGTTTCCAAACAATTTTCAACTGGATAATTTACTATGGAACTGCCACTGTATCATTCGATGTAAATTAAGTTCACAACAACTTTTAACAAAGGTGCAACTTTCACGAGTAAATGTTAGTAACATCCAGTGCTGGGACATATTTTTGTAACAAGTTCTAAGATCTAGCGGTGATCAGTGGAAAAATCAAAATTTCGTTTTGTCAACAAATTTCTGTTAGTAAACAGCATGAAATTACCAAGTCTTTCGCTTGTTTAAAGAAATCGAGAAGCATTTCAGTGTTATGACCTTTAACAACTACTTTCATTTCTCCTGATATTCTCCAAGCATCTAATGCATGTTGTCCCTGTAATACATAATTTAATCACATAAATGGTGGAATTTAAAAATAAATAATAGTAAAGTAAATAATTTCCAGAATTTTTTTGATAGTATGTTTAGAAAAAATATTATAAAAAATATGTTAAAATTCGTTATAAAGAACATCATTAACATCTTCGCTTCTTTGAGCAAGCCGATAAACACCGAGTGTTGCATGACCGACTTGCGCAGCCAACTTCCCTGCCCCCATTTTAAGGCTCATATTAACAACGAACACCATTTTATGCTGCCTATTTATGGCACTTGTAGAATGGACTCCTGAAAAAAAAAATATTTTTGAGACAAAGTGTACAGCGCATGCTGAAAGAGATACATCGCTAATATTTCAATACTGCACGAAGGAAAAAGCTCTAATAATCAGCCATAAATCAATAACGTATCATTTGTAACAAAATTTTACATTCCTGTTTGTACCAATTCATATCACCTACCAGAAAAAGATAACTGAAATGTGGAAACAAACCGCCCATTGAATTCTGCTCTTCGTCCGATTCAAAATCACTTTCGTTGCTGTGTTCTAAGATCCAATTTATCGCCGCTTCAGCTCCACCAATTTCTGAAAACAGAATGTTCCAAATTTGAAACATTTAACTACTCATGTAACTAAAACAGAAATAACTTCTAAAACAATTTCTGGCTGCAAGAAATGTCAATCGAGAAAGGATTAATCCTGCTGCACATGGGACGAGAATCCACTGTTCACTTCATATTTTAATAAGCAAAATTTATTGCCAGAAAGGAACCAGAAAATACCTTTTGTTTTTGATATAGCTAAAACAGCAATTACTTCTTCAAATCCCAACTGCAGTATTTCAGCCAGCAAAGCGGGATCCACAAGATCCTCTTTATTTTCTGGATCAGCAGGATGCGAACAACTGGCCCCAGCGACTAAAGTTTATGTCAATAAAATATCAGAGTCTATACTACTAAAACAATAACTCAAGATACTACTAAAACAATAACTCAAGATGTCGACCACAGTAGGAATATTAACTGCATCAAATAGCATGTTAATAAAATTTAGTTTAATCGCAATACACAGCATAAATTAAAGAAGATAATGCTTTAGACAACATAAGCCCAAGTATGAATGCTCAAGATTCATGGTAATTCTTTACTTCAGTATCCAATATAAGTTTCTACAATATTCACCTTATTGAGTATAGAAAAAGCACAATAACACGGTGTTGTTTGGACTACAATATTATTTCAGCGCATTCAGTCAAATAGATTTATGGAATTTACCCGGTTGAGAAGATTCAGCAGCCGTATAGAGCGTTTCCTGACTGAAATCTGGAACCGCTGGAACATAAAATGGCTGAGTAGGCACAGCAGTTTCCACGGAAGATATAGAAGAACTTGCTGGGTCTAATACAGGCTGTATTAATTGACTCTGACCTGTATGTATAGAAGACGATGGAAAATTTGTTTGATGATCAATAGTAGGGTCGGCAATGATTTGAATATTTACTCTTTCTGAAAAGAAACCCTGTCAAAAAATGTGCAACGTGTTCATATCAATATACTTATATTCTGCTACATTAAAACTGTTCAAAAAACAAAATTTTGGAAAAGAATGTACCATTTGCAGAAGAGCACGGGAAATCGGATTCTGCAGGAGATGAGATTACAGGTGTTCGCTCACTACCTCGAACAGCTTCCCTACTTGTATTTGGAAAGCCAGGTGGAGGTGGTGGTGCTTCACTGAAGTCACCAGACGAGCCTACCCTGCCATCAGTTGTTGGTATGCTGAAAAATGGTGCTTGGACTTAATCACGAATAAATATGTTCAAGATTTAGAGGTAAATCGTATCTAACAATCATGCAAATTATTCTTTTCTGTATCACCTCCGTTAAATGAAATTTTATCATAAATTCACGAATGTTATGCTACTTGGGAATGCTTAAAACTCATATGGGAATGTTCCTAAAGAAAAAGCATCATCATAAAGCCAGAACCACATGGAAATGCATGAGACGTATTATATATAAGGAAAAATTGATATAATGTCATTCGGTTGTTGTAGATGCAATAAATCACGGATTTAATGCATTTTGTAAAATTCAAGTCAACTTATTGATTTCCTAGTAGTAAAAACTGACTTCTGGAAGTCTTCGTCTGGTAGCTCGTCCGACATTTAAACAGCGATTTGTCTTTGTTCCTTTAATTTCTTCTTGGCTATTTCTCTCTCTTCTTGCCGACGTTTCCTATAATAATATTGCAAAAATAATACATATAAAAAATAAACATTATGGACTCAGCACTTAACATACATGTGAGGAAAATAGCAACTTATCCAATAATACTTACTTTAACTGTAGAAATTCTTTATTGTCTTCCGAATCACGTGGTCCTCGAATATTTTCCCAGTTGTCGTCCTCTTCCTTGACAAGTTTCTAACCAAATAGAAGAGTTAAGAAAAACCATTTGATAATGTAATGAATTCTTTAAATTCGTCCTCTTCCTTGACAAGTTTCTAACCAAATAGAAGAGTTAAGAAAAACCATTTGATAATGTAATGAATTCTTTAAATTGAATAACTACCTGATAAATCGTCTCTACACTTTCCTGTTGTTTGCTAATTCCCTCCGTATTCAGAAACTGTTTCTGAAAGATTATTTTTAAAGGTTCGTGTTCTATAATGTGAATATATCGCAAAGAGTAGTCCACTCAAACACAGATGTATTTGGTTCTTAAATAAATTAAGCAAAATAAATCACTTTCAGATGAATTTAAAATGAGAAAACTCCCTCTTTAAGTGATGCAAAGAAATAATGCAGTGAAAAGCAGCAATTTAAAAACTAGCTTCAAACAGTATTTTCAAAACATTTCAAACATCAGCTTATTTGCAAGGTAAACAAACTCAAAGCTTAAATTTTGTTATCTTTTCTAATGATATCTATTTTGCCTAAAACTTCTTGTCGATACATACAGAAACAAACTTGAACATAGAAAAACAAAATCAAGCATATTTCTCATAATTTGTAATTAAACCACTTCCCTTGCGACGCTAATCGAAAGATGATACTACTTCTGAAGCACCCATTTTTAAAATTGACTAATATATGTTTTTGTAAATTAACACTACAAGACACATGCACAAAATCATGCTCTCTTTAAAGCAAAAAGCAAAAACTGTTCAAAGCAGAAATTCTTACTCGAAAAAATAAAATTTTGTGACTTCGAAATTTCTCATTCTAATTCTTAGTATCCAATAAAATAATAACGTACAATTTCTTCAGCATCAGCAAGTGTGCAAGAGGATGGACCGAATTCAAATTTGATTTGTTGTACTTTATATGCGAGTAACAAAGTGGAACCACCAACTGCCAAAAACGGTAAACCTTTACAAATAAATTTCCAGCTTCTTGCTTTACTCATAAAACGTTATTTGAGTACTGAAAATCAATTTTAGCGCGATAGTTAAGAAATAAAAAGACATAACTACTTAGAATAAAAACATATTTATTAATAAAAAAAAATTCCTGACTGGAAAACAATATAAAGAGTTGATGAAACATGGACGATCCCTGTAAGCCTGTGTTCATTTGAATTCACTAGTCTGGTTTCATCAAAACCACAATTTATTAGCTAAAGGGCAATAATTAACCAAGCAAATTCACAGTGATCAAAAAATTGAAGAAATAATGTAATTAGCAGTGAAACCCTTATCAAAAGACAAACACGAACTGTCCCCTTTATCATTAGCTCACTGTCACAGATTACAAATCAGTTAATGGGAATTTTTAAAAACCTACTCGGCTTTCTCACCAATTATATCCACTCATCTACAGCTATATACCTATAGCAGCGATGCCTACTTCCTTTTTCCATTACAGTTTCATGGCAAGTATCGGATGGCTGCAAGTAATATCCAAGCCACTTTAGAAGCTACAAATCGAGCAACAATGCTTACTTCTAAGAAATCCAAAATATGAATAATATTTTCAGTTATCCAAATCAACTTCAACAAAAAAATACAAAATGATTCAGTTTAGATCTATTTGACGAAAAATTGGAAAACCGAGAAATGAGTTGGAAGTGTCATATATATCACAGCACTCGACCTGACTCAGCAACTCTACACCCAAAAAACTCATAACATGTCACTCTTAACAATCAAAACTCTCTACTACGGCTTTGTGACTCTAAATAACGCGGTCTTCAATATTTTCATAGAGACTCATCTGGCAAAATTTGCAGAGGAGTGTCATCGTCGTCTATCCATGGCTACTGAATGCGATCATAGACTGATAACAATTTAAACCGAGTCGTGGCTTTTTAGGCTACTCAGCTGGGGTGTTAACGAAACTTTCTCTTCCCAGATAGTTATTTCCATAATTGGCATGAAATTGCTTGGAGTTGTCGTGTTGAACTATGACAATACCGTGTGCATCATCATAATCATCGTAGAAAGCATGATCTTCTCTCTCTCGAACTTCTATGATAACAAATGAATATCAGTGAAAAGTTCCGAAAAGGAATTTCTGACTGTTGAGTTTCAAGATTTTGGCAATGTTTGAAATATAAAAAAATATGTGCACAATATGTCAATTCAATACACATTCTTCACGTCATGTTTTTTCCCTATTTCCTGCTACTTTTTTTTTGACCAGAGGAGTAGTGATAGACAAGAATCAAATTCGAGTGTTTTCTCTTTTTATTTTAAAATAAAGCTTAAAGCAGCTTGTGAACAACTTCTTTATTTGCTGTAGGAATTGCTTACGAACATGCTTACGAACGTGCGGTCTTGATTTAAAATTTTGCAAAAGAGACAGAATTTTGCATCTAGTGAGAGTAGTGAGAAGTCACTGGGGATTGATAGTGACAAACTAAAAATAAATCATCGAAAATGAACCTTTTATTATTAATGAGGATGAATTAACTTATAATTTAGTCGATACTCTGAAGTATCATCTTATTCTATGCAGAAAGCAATGAATTATTTTCTACTTTCTAGTTGACTGTATACAACAACAGTCAACTAGAAAGTATTGACGATGGATGAAGAGGACTTTTCACAGTTGAGATTGCACTGAATTCCTTAATTTCTTCAAAACCAATAGCTCTGTAAAATGTGCTCAACAAATTACTGAGATGCACCAAGGACTGTAATTTTCGCGGTAAAGGCTAGTGTCGAGAAAGAGTTTACTTCCTCTTTACAAAAAGTCTAACCACAGTCAGTACTCAGAAAATTGACTTTTCTTCGCTTCTTCAATAATTTTGTCTCCAGAAAGATGCTTCTGCAGTCAACAAGACTACTTTTGTTTTTCAAGAATTCGCTGAATCCCGAAGTGCAGATTTCTATGCCATGAGAATAAAATAGATTTCCTCATTGACGAAATATATCGATTGCAATAGTTATTTTAATTAACAAAATAGAAATATGTTGAGCAAAGTTATGGTAGTTTGGAATTTAATGAACGGAACTGCTATTACTTTCAGATAAATGTAATTTAAATACTAAAATTCAGTTATCATTGTGTGTTATGACACACAATGATAACTGAATTCATTCTAGATGTAATGAAGAGGCAAATGTGAAATAAAGCTATCAACTGAATGCCGTGATTTTCCAATATTAATTAATCTAGTAGTACCACTGGAAAAAAGGCCAATCACATGTCTCATTGGCTCCTTGAATACTATTTCAATATGCTTCGACACTATTGTCATACATATCGCGACATCTTATATTTTACCTGTACTTCAAACCTTCTCCTTTCATAAAGATTACTACTCAGAGAATTAATCAAACAAATAAATGCTGCCATGCTTATTTTCTACTCAAATGACACCTATTATTTTCGTACATTTTTGTTGATATGAATGAAAGATCTTAAGAAACAAAGCAATAGTAAGCTATTTGATGAAAGCACGATCTTCTAGAACCGTTATGTTAATTTGCTTTCTTATAATTTGTTACCTTTCACTGTAGTTTATTTCCAATTCATGGCTAATATTTTCATATGATTTCATAGATGATTAAAGTGGTACATTGGAATATCATTATCATTAGTCGTAAATATATATATTCTATTTTCAAGAAAACTGTACATTTTATTCGGTTCATTAAATAGGATTGCTTGTTAATGACGATTCATTGTATCATTATATTTGTGTTGTGTACTGGTTGCTGATTAGTGATGCTTCCTATAATTTAATATGCGCTTGTTTAGACATAAGGACGATTATATTAGTTTACCGGATCAGGTTATCATCCTTCATTTTTTTTCAGTAAAATTTTCATAAAATTTTCTATTTAAGGGATGATTCATCCACCTTTATTGGAATTTTTTTATTGAATGCATGATTTTTCTTCAGGTTTAATGCAGTCCACCCTTTTTATTAAAAAAAAACAAAAGGTGTAAACGAGTAAGGGATTTCATACATGATTATTTACTTCAATAACTTGTAAAATAAATATGTGCATATTTTTAGGAAGCACTTTTCTCGTTACCGTTTGTGCTTTTTGGACAAATCGAGAAAAAGTCACTTACAGTACTTGGATGGCGCTGGAGAAAACGTACCGTTGTTTTGAATTCTAGTGGGCATCTCATTATTTATAAATATTTCCTGGAGGGTATCGGAGCTGGGTAATTTCTTTCTTTTCAATTTAATTGCATTCGCATTTTCGTTGCATATGTTAATTATTGAATAGTGTGGTACAAAAGTTTTCTTCATTAATTTTATACATTAGTTGTTTCATTAATTTATTCATTATTTTATAAAAATAATCTCGTAATAGGAAACCTTTTCTGGGAAGAATAATTCATTTGGATGCAGCAGAACAAATTCATGCTCGAATTGATAAGGATGTTTGTTATATCACAATTCATGATCATACTCGAAAAAGAGTAAGTCTCAGTTTTTGTTTGATATTTCAAAAATTTTCAGGTTTTACTACTTTCTTCCTTATTCCAACATTAAACTTGAATTTATCCTAATTTTTAGACTGAATTGCGAATTAAAGGTACAAAAGCTCGTTTATGGGCTGCAAAAGTATTCATGTTGGTTAATTTCTTCTTTATTTTCTAACAAATTGATGACATAATTAAAAAAAAAAGAAAATCAACACAATTAAAAGTTAAATAGTTTGACAAGTTAGAATGGTTGATGTCATTTTTCCAATTACGTTAAGTTTGTAAATAACTTTAAATGTTTGTAAATAGTTTCTCGGATTGTACCGAGTCAAAATTGTGCATTGCAGAAATCATTGACTTAAGGCTTTTCACTTACAAATTAAGTGACACTAGCCATTTTTCGTAAAATGTCATTTAATTTTGTTTCTGGTGATAATAGGATATTTTTCCAGGTACGAAACTCCCCTTAATGATTGCAGAGTGTAAGTTGGTATACATTTGCTAATTATAGTTCTCTAAAGTGTACCAACTTTCAATTTAGTTATTGTGCTTTGATCAAAAAAGAAAAAAAAGGTGTTACTTAAAATTCATTGCAAACTATCCTCAGCAAGTTTAGGCGTTCAGCGGGTGCGCAAATAGAATGGCCAATCGAGCGTCCACTAAACCTTCTTGATTCAAAGATTTCTACATCAAGCATCTATGATATTACTTTATCAGCCAAAGCAAATCATATGGAGGGACTTTCCAAAATCACCATTGCTTCTGTTTCATCTGAAGTTAGTTTATATACTTTTATCATCCATTTTTTTTTCTTTTCTATGTATTTCGTGTATCTGTTATCAAGAAATTATATCGCTCATTCGATATTTGGTTTAACGAATTTAATTTTTTTATATTCTAATTGGTTACAACATGAATATTTGAACAAGTATCAATTAAATAATTGCTGCATTTCCACAAAACTTTAAATTTTTAATTTAAATAATAATTTAAATACTTTAAATTTAATTTCGAAGTTTTCATTTTATAGAGTTTCCCAGATTACACAACTTCTGATGCTTCACAACAAAACACTCAGTTGTCTGTGCAGGTTTTAGTCCTTTTTATATGTCATTTCAAGCAAATATTTGTAATGAGTAGGTGCGAAGGAATATACTAAGAGACACTGGAAGTTTGCAAAGAACTGAAATTATGCATTTGTATAAGAGTAGGGTGCTTTTCATTCCCTCTTTAACTCCATTTCGGTTCGTACGAAATCTCTACAGGGACTACTGAGTTTTTAATTGGAATTCACTTAATAACATAAGCATTTTTAAAAATAATTAATCGAAAAATATGAACTTTTTTCAAAAGGGTAATTTATAATTAATGACTTCTAGCGCAGTATCATTCCTGAATGTACCTGTTTTTCCCATTTTAAAAATTACTGAATGAAGCAAGAGATTTTATTTGACGATACTTAACCTTTTTTATAGAGTATGGAGCGAATAGAAATATCAGAAGTGATCACAGCTTGTGAAGCAGATTCCGAATCTAGCAATGTTAAAAACACTTCGGTGCAAGATGGTAGCTTGGTAATTCTTGTTCATATTACTTTTGATCACTAAATGCGTTTATTATTATAAATTAGAAAGAGTAGTTTTAGATCTATGGAAAACTTGCGGATAAAAATTTTGAAACAGGTGGTTTACTGAAGCACTCAAAATCAGCATCACAATGCACTGTCACCACTGAATTTTCGACTCCTAAGGTGTTTTATTACGCGAAAAGTATTGAGTATTATAGGCATTGGTTTGAAACTTATAGCTAATTAGTCAGTTTATCTTTAGTCTAAATTTTCAAACTAATACATGGTTTCAAAAATCTAAAAATGAAGTGTGGATTTTCTTGAAGATTTTCAAAAAAGTCATTTTTATTGCGTTATTGATTAATTTTTCAGGAAGCAAGTAAGTCTATAAGCTTGGACCAGTTGAATGTAGTAGTGGTATCGCGTCAAGACCGTTTTCAGAAGCATTTTCGAAGTATGATTGAAAATCGATTTTATGATAGTTTCAAAGACTACTCATTAAATTATTCGGTTTCCAGCATCCAAAAACTGCGTACACAAGCTTGCAGTCTCCGAATGTCACAAGTTTATGTATGTTGTTGAATTATTGCCTTTTTTTAAAAAAAAATGAATTTTTTTTTTTTTTTTTTTTTTTTTTAAGGAATAGTTGTTGAGTTTAAAGAAAAATGCAATTATTCTTATAAACATCTTTATTTAATTTAAAAATTCTAATGAGACATTGTTATTGAAGGAACAATCTTGTGATTCTATCATTCTGTGTTTCCTGTACTAATCTTCCAGATTCCTCATAATACATTGCCGATAAAGAATGAAGTGCAAGCGAAGCAGCAACTCACACAACTCTCTGGATCGTCATCATCATTACCCACTGATATGAATTGTAAATTGCTGGAAGAATCAAAACAGAATGATAGAAGTGAAAGTGATATTGTTTATCACTTTTAATAGATTATAATGCACTGATCAATTTGGTTCTTTCACAAAATATCAGACCATTCCCGCTTTTATTACTCTGTTAATCTTCCGTTGTGATCAAACAATATATAAATTAATTTGCTTATTGTCTAGTGATGTTTTAAACGGAAGGTCGCCTGAATAGTTTTTAAGCTTTCAAACACAGTACGGAAATCTGTTTGTTACACAAACGAAGCTCTTCGTTAAGAGTCAATCAAAATTTGTTCTAAAAAATTCGAATAAAATGGTGTTTTTTTCCCCAATGATTACTTTACTTACTGCACTCCATTTTTAATTCAAAAAAAGTAAATTAATGGTCTTGATGATTATGATGGAGGCTATCTGAGACGAGATGGAATGATAGGATTAATTTGCAAGACAAATGCTTGATTCCATGGAAACCAACTAAAAATTATAGTGTACAAGGAGGATGAATGAAATGAGGTCAAAAATGACAATGCACAATCAAAAATCCAACAATCCTTGAATTAGTTTTGCGTGCGGATATGATGTATTTCAAGGACATAATAACTCTGCAATACGACTAAAATTTACACTAACTTCATTGAACATCAGAAATATTAATTATCAAATGGATCACAGTATGGCAGTAAATCCTTAATTTTGCAACCGACATTACAGCAATAATGCATCATTTCAATCATTGATAATGGTCGATAAGCATCTTTTTTCCAATTTTGTTTCTCTGAAGCTAATATTTATAGGCTAAGTGGTTAGTCCTTTTAAATAATTTTGTTAGCTATGCCTGGCTTTATCATTTGGATCGTTTCTCAGTTAGATTTAGTGACAACATTGCTTTTTAGAAAGAGAAGCAAAGATCACCTTGTGAAGATGATGATCGTTTTTTCTTAATGATGCAGGATAGATGCCAAGCAGTGATAAACGATTTACCACCAGACGGACATAATTTCATGATTCCATCCCTTTTACTTCTTCTTTGAGCGATTAAATTGCATGTTATACATACTGACAAGTAATGAAGGATTAAGTACTTTTTTTTCATTATCTGTAATTGATTAATGTTAAAGATCAAAGTTACGTGAGCATTATGTGCTCTCCGCAAGAGAGTTTGTCTTCTCTAAATTATTATGATGTAGATCGCAGTATAGCAGTAATTATGATGAGAGACTAAATCTGATTTCACGTTCAGCTGACTCATTTTTTTAATCTGATCAAAAATAGTAGTCACTCAGAAAATTTTCTTCAATAATTTAGTATAATATAAAACATAGTATAAATATGACATATATTAAGTAAAGAAATTTAACATAAAAATTGACAAACAGTTCAAATTAATGAGTGAAATAAAAAATGAGTGAAACACAGCGTACAGAAATTTCAAAAATTCTTTTTTGCAAATTTCTAATCAATTGGCCTTACTAATTGTATTTTTATCTCGTAAGTGGAATAAGATGTTTATATCTGGTTCTCTGCAATTATGAAAATTTACAGGAAACAGTTTTAAAATTTCTATCTGTTTAGACTACCATCATGTATCTGGCATTTCGAGATATCTTTTACTGGAGAAAATCAAGTAGCCCCGTTCATTTGACATAGTGGTAAACTAATAGAGTCAATTGAACTTATTTTATAACCTTAGTTCATGTTATTGTTCTTTTACTACAATTTTATGGAGTTTCATGAATGAATTAATAGATATATTAATAGATGAAGCTTTTGTTTTCCAACCATGCTAGGAATGATAATATCATGATGATCCGAGAGTTGCCATAGTATTATGGTAATGAAATCTGTTAAGATTATGATTAGTTAATACATACTTGATGCAAGTATATATTAACTAATCATACTTACAGTTTTAAATATGCCTATCATATGCCTATTATATGCTTATTATACGACTTTTTCGTAAATTTAATATTACTTTTGGAGGATTAGTGCTGGTATGTCATGTTGATAATTTGCAGTAGCCAATCCTCTATACCTATTATTTTTTTTTTACAAATTTATAAGACAGAAATGTTGAAAACAAGGAAACATAAGATCGGAAAAATTATTGTGATGCTGCTGAATTGATACGGAATGGCTGAAACGCACTGAAAAATGCATGCGACCAATCTCATTAGAATTCATCTCCTCTCTTCTCTTCTATCAATCCTTTCGGTGTAAAATCGTAGCGGAATTATTCATCACATTGCATTCATTGTTTTAAACCTTTTTCCAAAAACATTACTTGCATAAATTAAAAGGTATTCACTACTCACTGAAAATATTTATCACTTTTTTAGTCTTTCGCTTGCTCATAAAAGTTCGCAGAAACTTATTTTGTTCTCTATATTAAAACTCAACTATTCCAATGATAGCGACAAGTTTTAATTTGCTTAAATTTCATTTCATCATTACAAGTAAATTTTTTTGATTTATTAGTCAAATAAAAGGAACAACTGAAATTGTTTTGTCAGTAGATAAGAACATAACATGAACTTGGAACTTTAACAATGTAACAAACTTCCATATTTTGTTCAGATGAAAATGTGAAATAAATGTTCACACTTTATAGTACGTCATTCTCCCCCAAACAATGCTCAATTTGCAAATAGTTACTTTACAGTTAATAATACGTAAATACACAACATACCTTTACCATTATTTATTTTTTAGAATAAAGTGCTATTTTAAGTGAATTTCTGAAAAAAAAAAAAAAAAAAGTTTTTGGGATAAATAAATGTTGCAAAAGTTTTAAGTACTTGAAAGTAACTTTTTTTCAGAGCCAATATATCAGCAACAAATATATGTCAAAAGTTCAAGTTTTTTAATCCTCCAAATGCTACTATAATTTGAAATAAAATTCAAGAAAATTTTTTGATAAAATAACACCATGCTTTTAACCTTGTTATGATTTGAAAGCAATATTTCATAGTTCATATAATTGATACAATAGCTAACTAATTCAATAGTCCCTTGGATCATCCTATCCATCCATCAGTTAGGCAAATGAAGGATATTCTATAAAAGAATTCTGTTTTCAAAAAAGTAGAAACTAATTTAGGTATCCAGTATATTTGCATCTAAATAGTCTATATTGAATTAAATGAAAAAGTTTGAAATATAGATGAGATGAAGTGAGCTTTTGCTATCCTATGTTGCTTCATAAAGGTCACTTAAATAAAATATGTGGACATTGCTACGAGTTAGAAACGTAGTACCAGTGTTGTAGATAAGTAAGGAAAGCATTACAAATGAATATTTCTCACAACTGCACTCTTTGTTAAAGCGAATGAATGAAAATGACATTGTCTTGAATCCTTCTTACTTGACCTGTTTTTTTTTTATCGCAAAAAGAACTTCAGTTCAATGAAGTTTTTTAAACCATTGAAATGAACTGTTGTAATGTTAATGTTATTCTCAATTTAACTGAAAAATTTCAATTATTTAGCTCATTTTCCGTCAAAGAATGTTCCTGATAGTGGAAAAAGCTTTATTTTCATTTAAAAAGTCCAAACAATGAAGGACTGCGCGAATAAGATGACTCTAAGAACTTGCAAACTTAAAGATCTCCACAGCCTCTTAAATGTCTTATATAAAAAATCTTAAATTTGAAAAATTTCTTCATTTTAATATATGAGTAGACAATATGCGTAAGTCGCACTCTTCCAGTTTAAGTTCTATTAATTTCATTTCAATGTTTTGAATGCATATATGACATCTCAACTTCATTGTTTTATATTAAGAGACTTAATAAGCTCAAGTATGCTAAATAGCAATTTAAAACACTAGTAAATCTGTGATCATAGATCACGGATAATCTGAATAAATTAATAGATTCGGTTTTCATTCCAAAGTCTCAATTCACTCTTCAATTTCATATGAAACGTAATTCTGGAGGCAGAATAGCTGCAATAGGGATCCAATAAACTAATGAAAAGGAATTGTATTAAATCAATCCTTCCTTCTGCTAACAGTCCTTCAAGCGCAATCGAAACATCTGCATTCAGTTGCGCTAGGAATTCTCATGATTCGATCACCACCTTCACATGCTACCTTCGCTTTCACCTAAAATAATATTTGGTTCCATTCTGGTATATTAAAACATTTATAGAATACCCCTAGACATCCCAAAACAAGTAAAAGGATATAATACTATGTTAATACAAACTCGATCAGTGTTTTTCCTTGATCAATAAAGGAAAAAATATACAAAGTCTCGCAAAGAATTAGCAAAAAGTAAGATTGTGTTCAATTTAGTTACAAGTTAAACATATCGAAATCACCACACTGATCCATTAATAGTACAACAGTCGTAATAATAACATCTATCCATCTACCCCAGAAAGCAATAGAAATAAATTTTAAAGAGAAAGTGAAATTATTGAAATTTTAAATTTAAAATTTGTCTCACTAATAATTTATGTGATCAAAATAGTGAAAAAAAAAACATTTAAAATTAACCACTGATGGATCATCCTTGGTGCGATCTTATGACCTTTTTCTTAATCCAATGTATTTTGTGCTTGATTAAATGACAAGTAGAAAAAAGTATTACATAAGCAATTAAAATCTCCCCTAGAACTTTAATCGCTCTTTAGTTTAAGCTTTAAATTCAATCGGAGATGTAGAACATTATGAAGTACTGCAATGCTTCATGATCGAACATGTGCCAAACAAACCCATTCATTATCGACCATTCTGCAACATCTTCCATGTACTGTAATTGAATTTTCTTCCGGATTAACGAATGAAAAAGACATGCAATAACCGGAACACATATTCACATTTACCGCAACTAGATCACATCCTGGTTCGTCGATAACATATTGTGTACCTGAAAACTATGAAGAATGAAATCAAATTTTCATCTTAGCTTCAGTGTTAATAAAAGGAAAAAAAAAAAAAAAAACAAGTAGGGTAGAGAAAGTAAACAAACGACTGCTGTAAAACTTATTGCCAAAACTGAACCTCAAATTTATTGTAGTAGAAGAAATGAAAATGTCTTAAAACAACTTCATTGT